AAAGCAGTGAAAACTAGTTGTCTTTTTCTCTTTTCGGTAGTCATGTAGTGACTTTTCTTCTCATAGTAGTTGTTTAGAAACATGATGGGACAACCGGTTGGTTTGGTCGGAGTTGGTTAAACTCTTCGAAGAGGGCTAAGCAGCATTTACTTTATTTTTCTACTTTTATACCCATCTTGGGAATTTCCTTTTTTTAATCAGATTTTGAATTTTAAATAAATAAATGCTTCACCGCGTCTTAAAAAAAAAAAAAGTAGTAAAATTGATTTATAAAAAAACTCTTTCTTACGACCTCCCAATTTCTTAAAAAAGATTAACAAAGAAAACAAAATGCCTGTTACTAGAGTTAGTTCAGCTAACAAACAAAACAAATGAACACAATAAACTAATAAAAGAACAATATACAACAACAACAGTGAAGCTTCTGGTTCTAAAACTATAGACGTAACTGATAAAACTTCTCTAAAAAAACAAAAAACATCTACTACCTCGAACGAACAAACTGATAATATCATTATGCAAAATATACAACCAACCAAACTCAAAAACTGTTATCCTAATACCTTTAAATACCTTATAAATTTAGAAGATACTGAAACTTATAAACCAGCTGATATGAAAGTTGACCCAACTGACAATCAAACTGAACAACAGATCCCAATTTTGCCAACACTTAATACCAACGACTATATGCATGCAAAGAACAATGATAAATATTTGTTTAAAATACAGGTTTCGATTACGAACTTCTAGACAATAACAAAGAAAAAACAAACAATCTTGGTCTGATGAAGTGTCTGAAAACAAGTCACGTGAACAAGAAAATAAATGTGCTACCTACAATATTATCATCGCTTTAACATGTTTTTACGCGACAGATAATGCGTTCGATATAAAAGGCAAATCTATTGCTGAAAAACGTACAAACATCAACTCCCTATTCATCCGCTATAACGGCTACCAATGTTTCAACTATATTTCCAAATTGAGAAAATTCTTTGTCTACTTTCGTACAATAGATAAACTTTTGCATGCAATTAAGAATACTCAAGAAACACAACATAATCTGATCTTCACAGTCGTGGATCCAGCCCAGAAACAGATTAAACAGGATGCTGAAAAAGGAAGGACCCTAAGATCTCTGACATACTTTTGTTTGTTAAATCTGATGTGTTACAAAATTACTTCGTTAAATATGACACGATTATTTGATTTTCTATGATCATCTGTGGTCCGTGGCAAATTGCATTCATTGTTTTTGAAAAAGCCGAAACTATCAAACCTTTCTATGATGATCACTGGTCTATACAATTTTTAGAAAATGCTCTATGTGTTGAACCGACTGACCTAGACCCTATGCAAATCTCACTGTTCTAACAATTCGAATTAAAACTAACAGGTCTTCCTCTTAATACTAACCAACAGCAACTACAGGACTTTCTTGCATATATAAAAGCCAAGTCATGTTTCATCCCTAAGGATCAACAATATCGTCTCTGACCTTACGCTTTCATTAATTTTGCTTCTCTTGATGACCTAGATGCTGTAGCAGTGCAGTCACAAAAATTTAAAGGAAGAATACTTTTCTGGATGAACCCTTTAGCTAAATATTACAGTAGCTGTAGTGCTTCCGACCATGAATTCAAAGAATGTTCCAACCAAAAACCTGTCAACCCATATAAACCTTTATATGACCGTTTTAAACCCGAACCATACAGACCACCTCTTATATTCAACAAAAACAATCCCAACAACCCATCATTTTCAAACATCGTCAATAATCAAAAACAACCCATTGTTAAGGAACCCCCTAAGACACCACAAAATGTAGTCAACACGTTCAAATTAGTACAAGAGAGACTTGATTCTTTTGAAAACAGACTCCTTGCAATCGTTGATGAAATTAAGGCTATTAAATCTAATCTAATGATCCAATCTGATGATTTGAATGAAATCAGTTTTCGTTTAAATCGACTTGAATTCATGCATAACATTGAATATGACCCAAATCACATTGCTGATCCAAACTATGAATTCCCATCGTATGATGACTTGTTCGTGCCCATCGATGAACAAGCGTCTGAACAACAAATTCCATAAGCGATTATCACTATTTAAAATCAAAATGTCTTCTCACCATCTCAAACTGATAATTTGTAACGTATTAGTCTTGTAGAATCTTCCGTCAATGAAATTAAAACCAAAATGCATAATTTAATAGCTGTCATTACTCCCATTCTCCAAACGTCAACGAATTCCATTTAATAATATCACAAAATATGATTAATACAAATGGGAGCTTGTCAATAGAAAAGGAGGAAATCTAAAAAAAAAAATTTTACTTTATATGCTAAATATGATTTTTTTTAGTAAAATAAGTCCAGATTTAACATTAACTCAAAAACTTTTTTTTTTTTTTAGATTTCCTCCCTTTCTATTGACAAGCTCCCATTTTATTAATATAATATTATTTTTATTAATTAAAAAAATATATATTATGATTATAAAACTTATTTAAAATTATAAATAGTTTTGAAAATTATTATAGATGAAATTATAAAAATTTTGTATTCAATAATATTAATTTGATAAAAGTTTTACTTATATTATTCAATCACTAGATATTTATTTTATTAAAATCGTTAAAATATCAAAATCATAAAATAAAATAAACTATGTTACAAAACGGTTTATCGTGTGACCGATTAACTTGCCAAAATGGGACCAAAATTTATAGTGACATCACCCAATTTCTATTTTAAGTTTGTTGTGTATCATATATTGTCCATCTCAGCCATTATTGGTTTTCCAATCACCTTTTTCAGTATAATTTTTTTTTCCTCGTTAACTCTACAACAAAAAAGCTATGGTAAATTCTACCAAAAGAACTGTAAAAAAATCCGAAAAAGTTTTAGTAAAATCCGCTGTTCAAGTCGACGAAATAGATAATAAAGTCGATATTAATAACGAATTAGCTACTGAATCTCAACAAGTTTTTCCAGAATCTCATCAAAACAAAACAACAACCGCTAGAAGTATGGCTACACCACGTTCAAGAGGAGGTCGTGGCAAACGTCCAACCAATACACCTGTTCGTTCATCGCCTCGAATCGTACGAAGATCTGCGTCTTATCCAAACGCTGTAAACCGTCACTTTGTCAATGGCATCCCCATCTTGGAAATTACACTTAGATTCGACGAAGATGAATACGATGTTTGGCGAAGACAAGACACTGATGAAGTAAATCTTCACTACTTGTTACGTATCAAGTATCCTAGAGACGAAGACGAGCAAGCCTGGCAAGCAGAACTAGATAGGCTTAAGAGAGAAGTAAACGAAATCAAAGTTATTGAAGAAGGCTGGTTTGAAGGCGTTTGGTAAAAAAAAAAAATTTACATTATTAGTTTTATAATAAGTTTTTTTCAAAGATTATCATTAATCTTGTTTGCCTTTATTTATAAACATAATAAACAGGGTTCCACTTGAAAAAGGTGCATATTTTTCTTGATTAAAATCAAATCTTAGTACATAGATAATTATAGTATTTATATATTAATTCATTATGTATCATTAATAATTTTAGCCAAAGATATTGCTCATAGATATAATATATATGAACATGTTGCTGCTCTGCTGGAATCAGAAAATAGTTGGTTTGATACACCGAAAAAACAGAGTGCAAAAATCAAGGTATGTGTGTAAGAGATGTCATGCATTCATTTATGAAAAATATTAACTTTTAAATATGAATTAAATTAATTAGAGCGAGCGTGCAATGAATCAAATGAATTCAATGGTTGCATTAAATTCTGTAAGTTCTCAATCAGAAGTGCCAGTAGAAACTACAAACGGTACCACTCCCACTACTCGTTCAATTGCAACCAACAACTATGTTATGGCAAATGGGACTGTCAGATCGGATAACGAAATCAAATCTAGAAGACGAACATCCGAACGAATTAAAGCCAAATCCCAGCCCGGCCAAGAGTCACCGTCTTCATCAACAAAACGTCTCAGAGAAATTGAAAATGAACGCGATATCAAGGATGTCAAAGAAGAAGTTCAAAATCTTAAGCGCAAATCAGACGAAATAGAGGAATATTTAATCTACAATGAAAATGGAAATAATAATAAGAGACGTGCTGTCTGGGCAGGAATTGGAGCAGCCGTAGGTGCAGGAATTACGGCAGTGGCCCTTAATAGTATGGGTTTTGGAGTTCCTGAAATAGTAGATGGAATTTCTAAGATCTTTAATAGTTAAAGTTAGTCTCATTTTCAACAATAAGTTTGATTATCTCTTTATCTTTATTAATTTCAAGAAATTTTATATATCATGATATTCCGAACGTTTCTTCAGCTTGACTGATCAATAATTTTTTTTTCTTTTTCCTTTTTTTTTTTGATAGATTTGGGAGAGTGTTGGATTTATATTGAAGGATTGCTGTTCATAAAGTTAGAGGTGTATAATGATGTCAAATATCAAGCAGACATTTTGATTCTGCAAATTTGTATATTTTTTATATTTTATTTTTTTGCTTATATCTTTTTTTTCTCGATCATCAATCATAATCAGTAAAAAAAAAAAAAATCCTCTATTTACGTGAGCGTTTATATATATATTTTTATATTAAAAAAAATCCCTCTCTTTGATAATCATTATTATTATTAATATCTCATTTAAGTGAAAAAACAAAATACTTGTTAGTAATTTTTTGGATTTTCCGTATATATAATATATAAAATTATTATTATTATTTTTATATTTATTTCTAGTTGTTTTGTTGGCAGGAATCAAATATTTTTTCTTTAAAAAAAATTTTTTGATATTATTTGGTCTGGTATCAAATTGATTTACTTACTTATATTGGTTATTGTAATATATATTAGGATTTCTCTGTGATTTTGATATAGATATTTTCCTTTTTTTTTTTTTTTTTTTTTTTTAAAAAAAAATACTTCAAGAAATTAATTAAAAAAAAAAATAGTTTGCAAAAAAAAAAGTTGTTTCTTTTTCATTTTCTCGTTTGAAATAGAAATATTAATTAATTATTATTAATAGATTAAAAAATAAAAATAAAATTGTAAAATAAATCTCTTAATATTACAAAATTCTATTGAAAGTAAATATCGTAAAGCGCGCGCTTTATATTTATCATATTTATTTATTTTTCGCTTTTTTATTCACTAATGATTAATATAAATAATTTTAATATATAAATAATTTTTAATTAATTGTAAATACATGTTTTAATTTTTAATTTACTAATTAAACCTTTTACACGTGACTTTGGCCGGCATTACGGCATTAATAAATTAACTAATGGTGACAAATATTTTTAAAAATGATTATTTTAAATATAATGCTTTATTTGTATATACATATGGAAGCTTTGCAATAGAAAGGAAGGAAACTCTAAAAAAAATTTTTTTGAGTTAATGTTAAATCTGGACTTATTTTACAAA